CTTCACTGAGATATAATGCAATCCCACAAAGTATGCATTTTAGTATATTCACAGTTCCACATGCATTACCACTATTCAATTCTTAAACATTTTCATCATATCAAAAAGAGAACCATACTCATTCTGGACATTTCAATAAATAAAACCATAAATATGGCCTGCTGTGTCTATTTTCTTGCACTTAATAAAAGTTTTTCAGGGTTCATCCATGCTGTAACATGTATCAGTATGTTGCCCCTTTTTATGGCTGAATAATCCATCACACAAAGAGAATACAATTGTGTTAAACCATTCATCAGAAGGTGGGCATTTGAATTGCTTCTTCCAGGTTGCTGATTTATAATAAAGACCAGCAACAAGCCTAGGAAGCGGAAAGAACTGGACCTCGGCTCTAAACTCATTCTAAACTAAGGATGGGTAAACACAATTACTGTTAACTGCATTTCTACTCAGTCCTTATAAGTTGCACTACTCCTAGACAATATTAATGGAGAGGATAGTTGTACTAACACAGAACTATGAAAAAAATTTTGTTATACTGTTATAAGGAAATAAGAAGGGAAATGAATTAAAACATAATTGAGTAATGTCTAATAGGTGAGGAAACTCAACTATAATAGAATACTACTTACCAACAAAAGGAATAAACTATTGGTGTACATAAGACATATACCTCAATGTCATTATGGTTGGATGAGAATGAGGAGATTTAGTCAAGGGGCCCAAGGAAACTTTGGAGTGGATATGTTCATTTTCTTGATTGTAGCAGTTTTTCGTAGGTGTATGAGACCAGTAAAAATTAACTCTACTGTATCATGAAGATACTTTGTATAAGGCCAAACCATAGCTGCAGAAACTAAGTTTAATAAATATAAAATAGATTCTCTGTATTAAAGCTTATGAACACTGCGCTCTTCACAAAAAGTTCACCAAATCATATACTTTAAATATGCCATGTATCACATATTAATTATACTTCCATAAAGAAATATTTTTAAAAACAATATATCTCAAAAAGACTGAATATATCTGATCATCAAATTATATATGTAGAATATGCACAGAGTTTTATCTATCAACTATGCCTCAAGCTGTTTGAAAGAGGCTTATCTATCCCCTAAATACCTGCATGACACTGGATGGAAAACACTCCCTTTATTTTGCACGTAATTTTGTAGTAAGTCAAAATAGTCTTATTTTGCACACGAGGAAAGTTGAGGTACAGAGTTCAGTTGAGTTCAGTAACTTGCCAAGGTGATCACAGTGTTAAACTGACATCTCTCTCTTTTTTATCCCAAAGTCTATGCTCCCTTTTCTGTACCATATTATCTTACTGTTGCATCACAGACTCACTCATGCCAGCATTTCCCGAGTAAAGACACTTTCTGGTTTATCCTGTAGGGTAGCGTCCCACATTTTTTTTGCCGTTGACTGTCAGTTTATGTTGCCACAAACACCTCTCTAATTATGAAGATTTACCTGATTCAGTTGACTTTTTCATTTTCACTGGATCAGAGTGCTTAATCTAGATTAGATCAAGGCAAGTAATCTTAGTCTCCAGGTCAAAGGAATGAAAACAATTCACTGGAGATTAAAACCAAAAACTGGCCATTCAACCTCCTAGCAAGCACTACCTCTCTTCGGAATAACGGTCATTCCTTTGATGATGGGAGGCCCAGAGATGCGAGCTAGCTAACGCTGCTCTGCAGTGCCCGGTTACTTTTTGCAGCAAACTTGAACCGTAGGTTGAGGTTCCCATCTCACCGCTGAACAGGGCGAGTGCGTGGAGGATCCTCCTCCTAATCACCTTGTATGAACGGCTGAGCTCACACTTCCTTGGTTTTGCATATAATTTTGTAGTAAGTCAAAATAGTCTTACTTTTGCACATGGGGAAAGTTGAGGTAGAGAGTTCAGTAACTTGCCAAGGTGGATTTGGGTCCATTTGAATAGGCGCTATGGCCTTGATTGAGTAAACTTAAGGACAATGTGAAGGTAGGCTAACACAATTTTTTTGCAAGATGATTATATTTTCAGTGTTGTCCTTTCATTCATGCAAGATTTGCATAATGAGGATGAACTGGGCTGATTATCTTCTATGTGCTCCTTCCAATCCACTCTCCATCCTGTTCCACCAGGCTCTGTGGCCCAGGAGACCAAACTGCATGGACTGAGTAGCAGCCTTGCTTGCTCTCTGCCTTCCAGTTGGGTTTGGCCAGTGGGGAGCAGAAGCAGATGAGAGTCAGAGAGAGGAGTCAGTTTAGGCTGTGTGTTTCCTGGGACCTGTGCCCCCAGGGCTGTTCCCCTTCACCAGAGGCATCGGGTCCACACAAGAGGCCCTCTCTTCACATCTCTCATTGCTTTGGGGCAAAGGGTGGCATAAACCCTGAACTGTGCACTTCTTCACAAGTCCCCTACACACTGCCTATTGCCTTGGACAGATTCTCTTTATTAATTAAACTCTGCTAAAATTGATAGACTTGGGGCCATGGAGATAACTCAGCGGTACAGCGCTTGCCTGGCAAGCGCAAGGTCTTGAGTTCAATTCCCCGCACCAAAAAATAAATAAATAAAATAAACGAAATGAAATGAACCAGCTTGCAGATGCCAGTTGGTACCAATGCAGCTGGCATTTTTCTGATGGAGGACCCAGAGAAAGCCTCATTCACAGTAACAGCTTGTTCTAAGTCCTTGGTTTATATGAAAATACCAACATGCATGGTGTTGATACCAGGCTAGGTGGGGTGTGGAGTGGGATAGTCAGGCCGCCCTGATTCACCCTCACACCAATATGCACTGGTGATTGTGTAAGGTCACAGACACTTGGGGGACCAGTGAAAGTCCTGGTTACATTTCACAGATTTAAAGTGTGAGATATGTAAAACCTTTTCAGGTTGAGAGATTGTGTTTCTTTACGCTTATAAATCATATTTCCATAGCCTTCAACCTTTTTGCATATGCTATTCGACTTAGATTGAGGTTTTCAATCACTTTTTCCACCCTAACTACGACATATAAGGAAAAAAGAAGTTTGCTAGAATAAAAACTGCCTAAATGGCAAATTCAGGATTTCAGAGAGGTACCATCTGTTTTTCCTCATTGAGAGATATTATCATATATAGTGAAAAATGCTATCAAAGTGAAGTGTTGTTTCTTGTGTCATGAATAAGTTATAATCTCAAGTAGTTTTGATTACTCAGAGCTTATACTAAAGATTATGTCTTTTTTTAAAAAAAAAAGATGCCTCTTGATCCAGCTAACCCCAAGTTATAGCTTAAATAGCTAACTTCTCATACCAGAATCACCGCAATTGTATCATTCTCAGATGAAGCACAGCTAGAATAGCCGCTTTAAGTTTTATTTTTTTCAGTGATTTTTTTCTCTGATAAAGCCAAAATGCTACGTAGCGGGAATTTGTAAGTTCTTTTAAGTAAAAAAAAATTAAAGTGTTGAAATATTAATATGATGCTCTGTTTGTGGTGTGTGTGTGTGTGTGTGTGTGTGTGTGTGTGAGAGAGAGAGAGAGAGAATGAACAGGAGATAGAAAAGAGAAAGCCACTGAATTAGCCTGAGCCAGGAAGGAAAAATATATCCTTACATTTATTATGAGTATCTACTAGAATTTAAGAATATCTGAGAGCAAATTTACAAAAGAAAATCTGGGGAACTCTGGCAGCTTCCATTTAATTCCACATAAAACCAGATGGCTCTCACAAAGATCTCTTCTTATTTTCCAAATGAGTGGTGATTTCATTCTTTCAACTTTCCCTAACTCAGTGTAATGTACCAACGAATAATATCATCTCATGGTCATGTAATATTTTACAGTTTACAAAGTGCTTTCCTTTTTCTTATCTCAACTGATACTTATAACAGTTCAGATATAGTCAGGGCAAACCTTATAAACCCTGCTTACAGATAGGGAAATGAAGGCCTGAAGATACCAGTCCAGACTCTTTCAGTAACAACTTGAATTAGCTTAGACAAAAAATGGAGATGTACTGGCTGGGACCATGAAGGTGTTTCAGCTCCCTCGTCCACCTGCACACTCTCTTCTCTCTTCTCCTCCTGTCCTCTCCCTCCCTCCCTGCCACACCGTCCTCTCTGTCCACTGGACTTCATTTTCTCAGCAGACTGGATCATGGCCTTGTCTGATTCCTACTGCCTTGACGTCGGGGAAAATGGTGCTGGACAGAAGCTTGAGCTGGAGAATGTGGAGGGAGAACCACTGGCCCCTGCTGGTCTTCTGTCCACACTCTGAACCAACCCTTGTGGTGTGCGGATGAGATATGATGGCTTAATCAGCTTGGGTGAAGTCCCCACCCCTCTGGCCTAGACAAACAAAAAAATAGGAAGAGAACAGTGCCTGGGGAAGTTGAGGCAAGAGCCAGTCACCCTCGTTTGGGCGCCGCCTTAAGTACCCTGCCTACCAGGCACGGGCAGAAGGACGATGGGAGCAGATCTTGGGACTGTGCCCATCCCCAGCCCCTTCACAGTGGGTCTCCCAGAAGCCACGGAGATGTTGCTAAGCTTCCCTCATCCTCGCAGTCACTAATGTGGTCTGGGAAAAAACTTGGCTTCCGGTCCTGGTCCTGTCACCGGTCAGCTGTGTGGCCATGAGCAAGTTCCTTAACCTCTGGGAACCACAACATCCTCTTTTATGAAATAAACAGTTCCTGCCTTACAAGGTCATCATAAGGGTACAGGGAGATAATGCACTCCAGATGACTTGAAAATCAGAAAAGAACTGCACGCTGTCCGGGGCTGTCGTTCCCTACACAAATGTCATGGGCATTCAGATTACACATTAGCATTCCTCTGTGGTAGCTCTCCCCACTGCCAGCCCTCAGCATTAGCATCACTTTGGTTTTGACATTTTCACTCTTTCAGTTTTAAAAGGTTCGTTTCAAAAAGAAGCATCAAATAGTGTTTCAAAAGTACAAGGCTGAGCTTGGAAGAGAAGCTTCTAAGCAGATGGTTCGCTGGTGCTTGACGTACTCACCTTTTCAATACAGATTAACCAGGAGATGGAGAATTTCTGGAACACACGCAAGGAACTATTAACAGTGGCTGCCTCTCAGGAGGGAGGCTAGAAGCTGGACGTGGAAAAAAAAAATCTTTCAATTTTTATTCATGCCTTCTTTACTACTTGAATTTTAAGACTCTTTCACATATATTCTTTTTTTTCTTTCACATGTATTCTTTCTATAATAAAAAAACTGATAAAAAATTAAAACCATTGTTATCACAGAAAAAGAGCATAGTATACACCTACTGTAGGTTCAGGTGCTTAAAAACTTGTAAAACTTCTTATTGTTGATCAAACCAGATATTTCTATCTAGTTTTTTTTTTTTTTTGATCTTGGGAACTGAACTCATGACTTTGTAATTGCTAGGCAGGCGCTTGTGCCGCTGAGCTACATTCTGAGCCCCCATCTAACTAGTAAAGTAAAATTAATATCACTAAATAAAACCTCAGGCTGGGCCCGGTGGGGCAGCCCTGTAATCCCAGGGAGGCTGAGACAGGAGGATTGTTGTGTTCAAGGCCAGCCTGGGCAACAAGGTGAGCTCAAGGCCAGCCTGAACTGCATAGCGAGACCCTGTCTCAAAAAGATTATAAAAAAAAAAAAAAAAAAAAAGAAAATAAATAAATGAAACCTCATTTTCTTCTGTGTCAATATGCTTTTTTTTCATGAATCATACTGAGAAATGCTCATTTCTACCTGCTGAGGATATGAATTTAAACTTTTATACATTCACACATCAAAAATGAAATCTACTGTCTTAATTCTCAACTATTAAAACATGGTACATGTGACTACCTCTCAACTCGGTGACTATTTCCCTGAGCATACTTTCCAAGTAGCATCAGAACGATGGGCTTTGAGGAACCACAGCATGGGGCAGTGAAGGGACTGTGATATTTTCTAAGAAAATAAAGGTTACACGGCAGCATATGCCAGAGCTAAAAAATATGCAGCATTTTTAAAAATGATACCACGCCTATGAACTTTGAATGCTATGCATGGGCTAAGTGCTATAGTGTTTGCTTAGTTACATCTCTGTAGAAAGGTTACCTCTAAATCTAGATGAAAGTTAAAGCCCCAATTTTTCATAATTAAACCAAGGATTGCTTTTGAACCTCTGTGCGTCATCCCTTGAAACAAGTCCTCGTCAGGTGATGGCCTTTGGGATATCTAAGGAGATATTTTAATAAAAGATATTTCTATATATGAAATTTGCTACTTTGATCACATTTCATTAAGTTATCACATCTGGATTCTTTCCATTTTATCATTTCCAATTACAGTATGCTACTATAGCTATTAAAACCTTTCCAGTCTAGTAGATACAACTTCTATCCCATGATACATAGAAGAAAGCCCAGTGTTTTAAATTATTAAACTACAAAACCCCCTTTTTTGTACATAACTTTGCCAAGGATAGCCCAGCCAATAAACTAGTAACAAAAACCATACATTTTAAAAACAATTACTGTCTTAACTCTCTGAGAGGTTCTCTTCTCACCCCCTTCACAGTTTATTTAATTTACCTCGCAAATACTTATAAGTCCAAATATCTTCTCTCAATGGAACAGAATAGATCAATAATTTAGGTCTAGAAATTTAACATAAGTGCATTCAAGTGGATGTAGACTTCTTCCAGAATTTGGATGTAGACAGAAGGAGCTTTATTCTCCCCCTCTTGAAGTTCAGACATGAACCTGTTTGTCTTTGATTTAAAATTTACATAATACAAAATTAACCATTTTACAGCACACGGTTCAAAGGCATTTCATACATTCACAAAGCTATGAAAGTATCACCTCCATCCAGTGACATGACCCTAATAATTAGTAGAAACCCAGTACTCTGAAAAGTAGTCTTTTTGATCTATTATTTATACTTCCACTGTAATTTCTCCTCGGAAAAGACTAAGCAAATCTGGGTTTAAATTACAGCATAAGGATCTGATTTCATTTCTTGTGGAATTTATTGATTCACAAAAACCAGTAGAGGTTTAAAGCTGAATGAGCCTTCTCCTTCTTTCTTTCCTTCCTTCCTTCCTTCCTTCCTTCCTTCCTTCCTTCCTTCCTTCCTTCCTTCCTTCCTCAGTGCTGGAGATTAAACTCAAGGCCTCTTGGATGCTGGGAAAATGATCTACCACTCAGCTATACCCTCAGTCCCAAAGCTAATCTTAATGAAATATGACCAGCATTGGAAGCGCTAGAAGGAAGAAACTCAATGTGAAAGTAATTCACAATTCTGTCTAGAACCTATTACTATCAGAAATCTAGATCTTACCTCAGTGTCTGATAGTGCTGAATCTTTTTTCTGTGTGTGTGTTGCGGGGGGAATAATTGAAAGAGAATTCCTTGGATCTACCAACTAGGGCAGTTTGAAAGACAGAAAATGATGAAATACTTTTTTTTTTTTCTTTTGAAAAAAGACTGCCAGTTCCTAAAAGCCAAATGCCTATTCTGGGGAAGCCAACTTATTGCTCTTCCAAGTGCACTTAGCAGCTCTCTTTGCTTAGTCCCAATGGTTTAGAGAATAAAAATGTCCAAACAGAAGCCACAGAAATGTAAGAGATGAAGCCCTAGGATCTCCCGCATCTGTAGTTTCTCAGCCTGGCTTTGCTGTGGGTAATGGGCGATGACATGGAGAAAGATACAGAGGAAGCCGAGAGGAGCGGCTGAGCAAGTGTCTTTACCAAGGGCAGCATCATCTGGGTAAGAAGCCTACCCCTGGGCTGTTGGAAGCATGAAGGGTTTTTGTTTTCACTTTGAGACAGGGTCTTGCTAAGTCACTAAATTTAGCCTAGGCTGGACTCAAACTTGCCATTTTCCTGCCTCAGCCTCCCAGAGTGCTGGGATTATGACCATGTTACATGGAGCTCTTACAGCCAGGTAGGAGGCCAAGCCACCATCCACTCCAATCTTCTCCCCTCGGGCATAAGAGAGTCTTCCTAATAATTATCTCTTCCTAAACCATCTATGCCATCTCATATGAGCATGTGTGCACTGGCGGATGTTCAATTTCTTTACACCAAAGGCAAGGTTAAAGCCAGCAGCAATTTTTTTCCCAAACCCTGGCAGACTTGGGTTTTATAGCTTCATCTGAGCTGACACGCTCAAAAGGATTCAAGGAGGCCTAGCAGTTATTAAGGCAGCTTGGACCAACATGTAGAGTCACCTCTCAGTATTCATAGAAGGTACAATATCTGTGATGCTCAAGTCCCTTAAATTAAATCACATGGTATTTACATAAAACCTACTACATCTTTCCATATACTCTTATCTCTAGAATATCTCCTGCAAAGCAAATGCTATGTAAATAGTTGTTGTACAGTATTACTTAGGGAATAAGGACAAGAAAAAAAAGTATGTACATATTCAGTGTAAAAGCAATTTTTTCCCAAATATTTTCCATCTGTCATTGATTGAATCCATAGACAGAATTTATGAACATGCAGGGTTAACTGTGCACAAGGCTAGCATTTGTCAGAAGAGTTGGGTTCACTGCCATTTTCAACACAAACCATGGTGATTGTCTTCATTATTTAGTTCAATTAAAATTTCTATTTTAACAATCCATCAGGGTTGGGGATAAAGCTCAGTGGCGCAGTGCCTGCCTGGCAAGTGTGAGGTTGTGAGTTCGATTCCCAGTGCCAAAAAAATAAAATTAAAATAGATCCTTTGCTTAAAAAATAAATCCATCAAACATGACATGGGGCTACTTTCCACTGGAGCCATTTTGTTACACATCTAGGGTGACCACATATCTGAATATCCTAGAATTCTCCTGGGTTTAGTACTGAAAGTCCTACATCCCAGGAAACCCCTTAGTCTGTTTGTTGCCCTATGTTTGGACTACAGAATTGTGCTGCTGGAATATCTAAAAGTGGACAGAAAGGGGATTTGTGACAAAAACAACAAAAAAACTGAAAATCTGCACCAAAAATTTCCAGCCACATTCCACTCTAAAGATGGTTTTCATAAATAACCCAGTAGTCCACTTTCTTCACCAGGCAAGAAATGGTTTCTTGCTTTGCAGGGATGACCTACCTAATATATGGAGACAATTAAACTATGCCTAGAAGTTGGCTATGTTAAATAACACTACTACATGAGGTTCTGAAATATTACATTATTTTACTCCCAATTTCCACATTTTATAGCCTAATAAATACTGCATACTATGACAGGCAGGCATGACAGCATAAAATAAGAGCCTCACTTTTCTTTGGTTCTATTCAAATACCTTGGAACCTGTGTGTGGTAGGCAAACTCTCTGGAGTTGGAGAAATGCCAAAAGCAGCAAACTGTCTGCACGCCACACCTACAGTACCAGAAAGTCTGGCCAAGAAAGGGCCATTGGACTTCAACCTGTCCACCGGCTCCAATGCCAATACTCCAAGAAAACCAAAAAGCCATAGTACTTCTACCTATAAAACAGGAATTACAGAGCCAAGACAAGAACTTGCTTCATTAACTTGGGAACTCGAAACCGTCTCAATTCTGTGTAATTAGATGTTATAAGATCCCATCTCTACTACCTAAAACCTTCCTACCTTTCTGAACAACTAATCGCTCTACTTTGCACCAGGCAGAATTGCAGCCCCCTAACTCTACCCATGCCCTTATCCCCAGAACCTGTGAATGTGTAACCTTATCTGGATAAAGAGACTTTGAAGATGTGATTAAACTAAGGACTTTATGATGAGGAGATTATCCGGGTTTATCCAGGTGTGCTCAACCTTATCACATGGGTCCTTAACAACCAGAGCTAGACAAGGAAATGGATTCTCTCTAGAGCCTTTGGAAAGGCAGCTCTTCTATAGTGAGATCCCTACAGAACCAACCCACACAACTGTCCAAGTTGTATTGCTTCAAGCCACTAAGTTGGTAATGTGTCACAGAAGCAACAGACAACTAATACACTTTTCATCACTGCGGTGGTACAGTTTGCATGATGCCTCAGTAGCCTCTTCAGACCTCAATATTTGACCATTGCTTACCTCGTGTTTAATTTGCTTCTCTATGCAGACTTAAAAAAATAGATTTAGTGCTAGACCAAATACTCTCAGAATCCCTGGGAGTACAAAACAATACCTCCTTTCACTTATCCACTTCATTTAGTTGCTTTCTTTAGTTTGTTAAGCACCAAGACCACTTACACCCAAAACCACCGAGCATAACTGAAATGGGTCATTTTGCATGAAGCAAAAGCGTTTGTAAGTGGGAGTGGAAAATGCCAGGTAATCTCTTTAAAGTGGTGTGCTGAGATGCAGTAGTTCTGAACGTCTCTCTAAGGCATTCTGCATGTCACAATGACTGGAAGACACCTTCTTCAAGCCAACAAAGAGTCCCAGAGACCGCAGTGAAAAATCATCTCATCAACATATTAGCAACCCCCACTGAGAAACCCCGTGTGGATCAATTTGAAAATTTTCAGTCCACTGATTAGCATGAAAGGAATCAATGCAAACATCAAAGAACATCAGATGCTTATAAAACAGCTCTTGTTATTAGCAACATTTGGGTAGAATGTAGGGCTGTCCTAGCCATCACTTGGAAGATATTTTCCTTATATTTGAGTGATGTGATTCTAGGGTATAAGAGGTTATGCATGCTCCTAAAAGCATACACACAAAAAGGGTTTCTGCTAATAAGCTCTAGACCACAGACTCTTAGTTCTGGCTACATTTTTAAATCATCTGGGGAGCTTTAAAGACTACAGTTGTCCAGGGTTCTCCCCTAAAGATTCTGGCTCAGGGGGTTGGAAAGGGTCTGTGTGTCCCTGTTTTCAAAGCATCCCTGGAGACTAACGTGTAGCCGTCATCTACCCAGGGGAGAGCAGCCTATGGGACAAGCCATGTGCATGCGGTCACTCGGATCTGAATCCTATCTTCTGTTCTGTGTTTACAGCCGTGTCATCCCTCCCCACCCACCCTTCCCAAAGAGACATTTGGGAGTTCTTCTCAATGTCTTCCTCTTCTCCACTCCACAGTTCCATCAGCCTTTCCAAATCCAGCCCATCGTTTGTAGACCCAAGGCCCCTACACTCTCTTTTCTTTCCATGCACCCTGCTGCATAAGGAATTATCCTCTCAAAGAAAATCCTGATTCCATGTCCCTTGCTGCATCCCACCCAGCAGAGAAGCCAGGACTCTTGGGCATGGATGGCACACGGGGTCCTTTCGAGCGTCCCTCAGTCTATTTCCCAAGCCACTCCTCAGTCTGCTACTTCCTGGCCATGCCCAGGCTGTACTAAATCTCTCCGATCACACCAGGCCCTTTGGGACCTCCGTCTTCCACACATGCTCCCTTACTCCCGGAGCCTCCGCTGTCCTTTCTTCTCTGGCTGAGGGTGCTCTGCTCCACAGCTCCCGCGGCTTCACCCACAGCGTTTCCCTGCCCCGCGACCGCCAGGCCAGCCCTGTCCTCCTGTACCCACAGTTGCTGCTCTCCCCTCACACAGAGGTCTCATGTTTGGCCATGTTTTCCCCCCATGAGGCTGAGCAGCTCTGGGGCCAGGCCTGTGTGTTTCCCATCTTCATATTTCTAGCATCTGCCTTTCATTCTTTTGTTCATTCATTCAACAGTTTTATTAAATATATAACAAGCGCCAGACACACTGGCTGCAAAACTGTTAACAAGTCAGAAACCATGCCTGCTCTCGGAGCTTTTCTTACGAGAGAGGCAGGTTGCTGCATAAACATGATAAAAGAGAAAGCTTTATCTGCGGGGAGGGCTTGGAGAAGGCTTGTTTCAGGTTGTGCTTGCACCATACCAGTACATTAAAACAAGTGGGAGAAACAGCCTTCAGGAATTGTGGCGTTTTGAAATTGTGGCCTCTAATGTTTACATGTAACCATTACGGTTGGATGTGGAGCGTCTTTGTTTCATTCTGCCAGGGTGTCACAAATGGATAACCTTATCTGGAGATGTTAAGTTCAGACTGGAGAACTTCATAAATGTGAGTTAAAGAAAACTGACCCTCTTATCCTAAGGAAGGTCTGGTGCCTAATTAGGGCTAAATATTTGCTGAATGAATGAATCAATTACCATGTCCAACAAACTGATTAAGCCCAGTAAATTGATTCCGCTATAAGCATGTTTACTTTTTATTAGCATTTTCTGTAGCCATGAAACTGTCATATAAATAAAAATTAGAAAGCCAACAATCAGATTCAGCCTGCCAGTCAGTAAAATTCTGGAGGAAAGAAGAGAGTAGGAGTATAAATGAAATAATATTGGACCTGAGTTGGTAACTGTTGATATTGGGTGGTGAGGGTACAAGATTTGATTGTATTATTATCTCTGCTTCGGTATACACTTGAAATTCTTCCTAATGAAGTCAAATTGTAAAAGGAGGTGGGGAGGGGAACTTAAATCACTGACTAGAGGAAACTGTGTGTCTTGGCTGGAGCAGATATCCAATCTGTCTCAGGATCACGGTGATCTTTCAAGTCTACCCCCAGATTTGCAGGGTTTTAGCTACTTTCACGGGTGAAGCTTCTTCCAGAAGGAGCCCCACCAGCAACAGACTGACCTTTTCGTTGTTGTTAGTGTTGTTACTGTTGTATTTGTCAGGAAAGCAAGTTCGCCAGGTCTGTGATCCATCTGCTAGAGCGGGGTTTACCTTCGTTGATCTAATCTGATCGGAGCTTCTGTCTGGCACAGGCCCTGTCCTCCTGTCTACAACTCATTAATCATGCTTGGTGCTATAAGGCTGTGTTTTGTTAAAGCAGCGGCTTCAAAAGTTTTCCAGCTCAGATTTTCAGAAGATAATTGGAAAATCTGGGTGAAAATCCAATTTTAACTATCATTACAGAGAATTTTTAATGAAGTTGTTAAATCCCAAAGTCATGTCAATGTTTTTAAAGACCCTCTGAGTGTTTCTCATGCACAAAACATCACATACTTCAATGCTTTCATCTACAGAACGACTTAAGATATTTTTAACCTACCTTGAAGTTCTGGTTAAAGACAATCTTAGAAGAAAATATTCAGAATTCTTACCTCTTCAGTTCCCAAAGCCTGAGGCTCACTGGCGGATCTGGCTGTTGAGAAAACAGAGGAAAAAAAATGTATGTTTTAAGAAAACAAAAAAATAGCACAATACATGAGAGTCAGTGAAGGCTCTGTCACCGTTGCAGGAAATGGTGGTACAGTTCTAAGGGCAGGGGGGTCTTACGGGTTCACATTTTGGAGTCCAGAAACATTTTATGAACTTCTTCTCTCTTAAGAAACAGATACAGTATGTGAAATAGGAGTCCATTTCTCTGGGAAATTCGCTAGCTTGCAAGAGAACAGAGCTCACCAGGGCTGCAGAGTAATGTAGGGGAGCAGAGCTCTTGGTGGTAGAGATTACCTGTGCCGTGGGACAAATGAGAATGTTTCCTGCTGACCTAACCTGATTTGTCCCTCCAGAATCAAAGCTGCAGAGATGGGAAACACTTGTTCCAGGCGTTGGGGATGGAGGCGGAATACATACAGTTTGTGTGTGTCTGGCATAGCAGGACAAGTTCCTGGTTAATAACCATAGCTTTAGCATCCAAGGTGTCTACAGGCTATTTAGGGGTGGGAAAGGCATTCACACCTTTAGCCACAAATGCCTACTGTGAATGTCGAGCAGTTGGCTGAATTCTGCTTCATATCTGAGAATGAGAAGGTTCCTACACAGAGGCGCTTCCTTCCTCTCAAAAATTGCAGCATGCCCAGCCCCAAAGCCTCAGGGCCACTTCGCCACTCTTATTTTGTTCTGAAACAGGATCAAGAGTTGTCTGATTGTGGGTAGAAACCAAATTCCCATCGGGTCCCAGAACCCAATGAACATGGGTGTTTCTGGAAATCTCACACCGCTCCAGGCTGGCAGGTATGTTGCAATCTAGACCCAACGAACCATAATCCCAGACTACTCTACCGGCACATGTGTTTTAAAACAAGCCCAAGTTATTTAAAAAACCATTATCTCATGATTAATGACAGCAAAGGGAAAGAAAACAAGCCAAGGGCAGAAAGCAACCTATTTTCAGAGAATGGGCCCTGGGGAAACAAGGGCTAAGTGGGACTTGCAAAACAAGCTTGTGCAAGGGTGACAGACACCAGCACTCACAGTGTCAAGTGGCACAATCTCTCTGCAAAGAAGTTTGGTAAAGAGACTCAGGTATGTTTCCATTATTGAGGCGATACCACTCCTTGACTTGAACAATGACAACAACAAAAAGTAGACAAAGAATGATCACCATGGGGTTGCAAAGAACCTGATTATCAAACTACAACCTCCGAAATTAAATACAAACTCCATGTGGTAGAACAAACAACAAATACAAAAAAATTTAAATGATGACAAAAACACAAAGCTGTGTGTGATACTGTTAAGCAAAAACCAGATAAATATAAAATGTCATAAATAATGTGACCTCGATTGAGTTTCAAATACTGTATACAAATTTATGCATACATAAATTTCATCCCTCCCTCCAGAGCTTGCACTTTGCTTGGTATCAGTTACTTGCAGTTGAATGGGATCTGATAATATTAAAGGGGAAGTGCTAGAAATAAATAATCCCTACATTTTCACTCGCACCCCACTCTAAATCATGTGATGAAATCTCACACACTCTACCCCATCCAGACCAGGACATGAATCACCCCCTTTTGCAGAATGCCCACACTGTCGATGCTACCTGCCTCAGAGTCACTTGGTAGACATCTCAGTTATCAGATCCCCTGTTGGGAGATCTCATAGAATCTGTGTTCAAATTACCCTTCCTGGTGGCCTAACGCCATGGCACTCCCTGAATTATCTGTCATCACAAGAAGGGGAAAGGGAATATTATGAGGTATTTCGAGAGAAAGACCACATTCACATAATTTTTATGACAGTATATTGGTATAACTGTCTTACTTTATTAGTGTTGTCTCTTACTGTGTTTAGCTTATAAACTAAACTTCACTGTAGTGAAATGAATGTTCATACCATTCACTTATGAATGGTATGAACATATATGAAAAGACATGATGTATTCAGGGTTTGGTACCACCTGCAGTTTCAAGCATCCAGTGGGAGTCATGCACTGTATCCCCCAAATTAAGGGGTATGTGATACTTTCCTACTGTATATTTTCTACTGTATTTTTTCTATTTTAATACATTTTCTCATGTATCATCCATATACATGCTAATAGAACATTTTGCATATTATACAGACATATATATTCTGTGCAAATATAATGTTTTCCAGTATGCACTATACAAGATATCTTTCTGAGGGGCTGGGGATTTAGCTCAGCGGCAAAAGCACCTGCCTGGCAAGTGCAAGGTTGTGAGTTCGGTTCCCGGTACCGGAGAAAAACGAAAAAAAAAAAAAAAAAAAAAAAAGATATCTTTCTGATACACATATATTTTTCAGGAAAGAAATGGAAGAAAACACATCAGCGTGTAAACAAAATATTACCTCTGTTTCGTAGGGCAATGAAACTGGCAGAAATTGTTAATATGTCCCCAAATCTGCTCTCCTTTTTTTCCATGTTTTTAATAGAAATCTAAATGATGCACATTTATGCCAAAAGTAGCTACTTATTTTTTTCAGCCTCCCTTGCTGCTAGGTGTGTGGCTCTGTGATCAATAGCAGTGGGACGGAAGCCAAAGTGATACATAACTTCTGGGTAACGCCCTCTCCTTCCACCTTTCTTCCTCCTGGCTGGCTATAGTGGGGTCTCCATGGAAAGCCATCTTAGCCCACAAAACCAAAAGAAACAAGCCAGGAAAGATGCACCAACGTGACTGGAGAACCCTGAGTCCCTGCATGGTCCCGTAGAGTAGAAATGTCTTGTCAGTCACAGGTAACCTATGGATGGTTCAGTTAAAGAGAAATAGCTTCTAACTTCTGTCAGCCACTGTAAAATCAGGACTTTGTTATATCCAGTTCAACAATAACTAAATTAATACATGAGATCATTCCTATATTTCCTTTACAATTTTCAGCATTTTCGAATTTGCAATGAGTGACTTCCATGATCAGAAAAAAAATTAATTTCTTTTACTAATATGAGAAAATGAAACCCAAAATGAAGTTTGGACAATAGATGCCTACTCTCCACATATGAGAATGAAAATAAAATCTATGGAAGTAGTTATGTTACTCAGCAAGACATATCTCTCTCTCTCTCTCTCTCACACACACACACACATACACACAAACTAAAATTTATAAAACCCAACCAGGTGTTTGTGCACCTGGTGTGGTACACATGCCTATAATCCTAACACTCAGGAGGCTGAAGCAGGAGGATCTCCACAAGGTTGAGGCCTGCCTGAACTGCATAGCAAGACCCTGTCTCAAAAAACCCCAAAGAAAAAAATTTATAAGACCCTTCAGTCGCACCTCACTTTATTTCAAGCCTTTTTGAAAAAAAAATATTTTTAATAAGGAAAAGTTGTCTCAATGCTAAATAAAACCTGCTTTAAAATCTACTTGAAATATGCTCTAAAACTAATATTTCAGTCCATATATTATAATTATACTTTTAAGAGGATACCCGGACTTCTTAAAGTGAATTTAGAAAGTTTTAAAAACAATTTTCTATGCGCGCTCATATTTAAATGAATGGGATTTCTTCTGCAAAAGGTACCACTGAGGTGAATTCCTCCAGTCATTCCACTGGCCCAAGAGCACTGGGATGCCACCACCCAAGGGTGCGCTTTGATTTTATTCTCCCTGGCAAGACAGATTCAGCAGAGATCCCATAACTTCGCTTGTCTCCTTGGTGACCCGTGAGCCTGTGTTCTAAGATAGTGGCCCAAGGTAAGAGTCATACTCAGTCCATAAAGCATAGACACTGGGTCTACTTGTGAATCAGATCAGAAACAATGATTTAGTTACAAGCTCCCTCTAATTATAAGGGTAATACACCGAGGATCATTTAAATCTGCAACAATGCTATGCCAATGGCATTTGGCACCGGTTAAAGAATCATTAGAGCCTTGTTCCTGTTGCGCATGTTGACCTCAGAGACTTGCATGTAATTATGTACCAAGTAAAGAAACTATTTTTCCCCTTCTTCCCAAGAGAATGCCGATTGATCCTTTTCTCCCCTGTGAAGTGCAATACCCCACAATAACGTGGCTAGCTTCTAGTTCACACCAAGGCAAGATGCCGGGGCTCCTTCCCTCCCCCTCGGGATGCCAGGGAGTGCCTTCGCAGGAAAGCCCCAAACTCTCCTGCAACAGGCAAATCAGAGCTGACAGGCAAAGCTCTGAATTGTCTGATTCTCTCCCCTCGTCCCTATCCGGAAACATAAGCAAGCCAACTCTACAGGCCTAATTACCATGGTAACAACACGCACTGTGATTATGAGTGTGTTTGTTTTTTAAAATGACTCACAGATTGTTCCCCCAGAAACCTCAGACACACAGGTTTCTGGCTGGTTTATAAGATGCACCTAAAATTTCTTTGCACATTTCTCGTTCCTGTTAGCGTATTTGGTGGACAGAAATCCATCAAATTGAATCCAGTATGTCTTCACCTGAAGGATGAAAAAGGAAGTCAGCAAGAAAAAGAAAACAATCGCTTGGTTCCTTAAACACACCAAGATTAGTCATTCTGAACCTCTGGTTTGTAATGAAATTAATTTGAATTTGTACACTGGAGATAATTAATCTGTTCCTAATTTAAGTAATTAAGGTATTTTATAATGTAGTTTTAGAGGTTCAGATGAACTACTCAGGTGAAATAAAATCTGAAGTAGAAAATATCAAACAAAATAGCCTGAATAGGGGTACAAGGTCACATGCAAAGTATTACAAAACAATCCATGTGCCAGGCACATTGCTATAATCCCAGCCACTCAGGAGGCTGAAGCAGGAGGGTTCTAATTTTGAGGCCAGCATGGACAAGCTAGCAAGATCTTGTCTAAAAACAAAAATGAAAAATAAGGTTTGAGACATCGCATTCTCTGGGTTCAATGCCCAGTATCACAAAATGAAACAAAAACAAAACAGAATAAATGCAAATCTTAATACCAAGATGTTTTAAAACCAGTGACCAAAATGAAGT